AATGTTCACACAGTGGTGAGATTGCCTGATGATACATTGCTCACAGCATATCGTTCTTGTTATGTGATGCGTGACTGTGTGTGTGTGTGTGTGTGTGTGTGTTTAAAAATTAGACTTTTAAATTGTGAATCATACTTGAATTCTTTGTAAATCCAAATGAAGCAAACGAATTTTAAAAAGAAATATGTCAGGCAACTTTTTCATGAATTTAACCAAAGGAAATAGCTAAGGCTGAAAATTACATGTAGTTTGTTCATTGTGTAAACTCAAATAATAATTGCTCATGTTTTTATTTTTCCTTGCTTCTATAGTATATATCTGACTGAAGTTTGCCAAAATATGTTGCTAAAGAGGAGCATGCCAAAGATGTAGCATATAACTTGCTCTTATTTTTTCTCTTCTATGTAAGAATCAATGATTAACAAGACACAGATTTAGTCACCTTGATTTGTCATCTTATTCAAGAAGATAATCTGTCTAGACAGATTATCAATAGCTCCTGTTTCTTTCTGCATCCCCTAATTAAATCTCCCCACAAAGTTCAGATTTCTTGCATGCTGTGTGTGAAGTAGGAACATTTGCCAGTTACAATAGCATAGTGATGTAGTGGCCTAAAATCTCCCCAGTACCCAATGAAAGTAGGTAATAATAATAACAACGTTAAGCAAAGCTAAGAATTCACCAGAAAAGAACAATCTAGGGAAAAGGAATGACATCAAGACATATATTTCAAATTTTTTATTTTTTAATAACAGAAACCAAAGTTTCTGATGCAGCCACATTTTTTCCCCAGAACCCTCATCCAAGAGCAGTACTGAGGACAAAACAGGAAAAATCCTAAGAAGTATCACTAACATCCTTTACTTTGAAGAGAAGCTGGCTAATGCAATCTGAAGGCAAGAAGACAGTGCAAGAAAAGAATCCATGAACATGTCAAGCAAAAGCAAGAGTAGACCCCCTGCATCATCCCATCTGAAGTGCTCAGTAGAGGCCCCATGTAATTTAGCTGAGATGGAGCAAATGAGTTACAGTTCACAGGAGTCACACACTGACTGGAAAGAAGGGCCTCGGGTATAGGATAATGATTAACATCTTAGAAGGCAAAACAGAACCTAGGTCCTGAGCAGGCATTTCATTCAGCCCCAACTGGGTTCTTCCCCTTCTTTTTTTCATACCTTCAGACTAGAGCAAGTGCATAGAGCACCTGGTACTTCAGTTTTGATATAAGGAGGTTGAGCAAGGGGTGAGTGGGGAGAAAAGTGTGGGATAACTGGGAAGAATATTTTTACTATTCCTCTCCAGAAAAAAATTGAAAATTAATCATTCAGGAAGACGTCTCTTGAGTGCAGAAACCTTTAAGATTGGTTTACAAATCTGTTTCACATGAACTAATAAATAACCAAAGGAAGAATTTTGACATTAGTCCTCCTAGTGTGTCAATACAACATGGATATGTTTTCCTAACCACAAAGAGTGTTCACACTCTTTCCCACAGTCGCTTTGACTTTTCTGACATTTCATTCTAATCAAATTGTCATTAACATCTGTTTTAAGCAACAAGACATTCCCAGGGTAGCAAAAGTATAATGAATTTTTCATATGGAGAATGTAATGGAAACAAATTGAGGAAAACAATGAGACAACTTGAAAATTCATGGGTTTAGAGAGAAAAATAAAAGCTTTGATCAATGAACATAAACCTCATTTTGTAAGAGGAATGTGAAAGAAAGAAGAAACAACCAGCAGCAGCACTTGAGTTTTTCCGAGACAAGCCTCATCTAATGGTTCCGTCTTATTGCCATTTCCAGAAACTTTCTCAAAATGGAGGAAGCTTTTAGACTTAGTCTGTATTGTCATTAGTGGGGCTTTATTGCTAGAAGTAATGTGGCAAGACAAAAAACATTTCCTTAGTAGAGGATAAACCCAGGTGTCAAAAACTACTGGGCAATAACCAGAGTCTCCCCCTGCCTGTTTGCTGTTACAGCCACTCAGAGTCTAACACTGTGTGTACCTCCCATTGCCACTTGTGAAAAATTTTACCCAATTCCCATTACCACTAGAAGAATTGAAAGAGGACAATAACAACAACAACAAAAAACTGCCAATATGTTATTTTTAGATCAGGTTTTTGATGACTTTCTACAAATAAAAGCTTTCCTCAGGTCCATTCAAACATGTTACTTAAGCCTCCTTTAAAAACCATCCTGTGATGTTGTACCCAAAATAATTATGCCCCCGAAAAAGCAAAGGAAGAATCGGTTTAGCAAAAGCCTTTTAAAAAGCAAAAGCATTTCTATAGATGGTCTGAGATGTTGACTAACACTCTAGAAAATTTTTTGGTGAATCAAGGTTTAAAAATTAAAATGTCAGAGGTGGAAAAATATCTCAAAGATATCTAGTAAATCTCTAGTCTATTTATTTGATGTATATTTTCTCTTAATTACATTCCTTAATTTATTTACTTAGCTGACACTTAGAAGTCTGTAAATTTCTGTTAAGTACTGGATTAGAGCTCTGAACAAAATATATGGTCTCTGACCTCAAGAAGCTTCAAATCTACTCACAGAATAAAACATTGTTATGTAAATAACTGTGTAATCTGAATTTGGTAATATTAAGTTATCCAGTTGCATGGAATTTTTTTTTTTTTTTTTTTTTTTTTTTTGAGATGGAGTCTCACTCTGTCGCCCAGGCTGGAGCGCAGTGATGCAATCTTGGCTTACTGCAACCTCTGCCTCCTGGGTTCTAGCAACTCTCCTGCCTCAGCCTCCTGAGCAGCTGGGATTACAGGCCTGTGCCACCATGCCCAACTAATTTTTGTATTTTTTAGTAGAGACAGAGTTTTGCCATATTGGCCAGGCTAGTCTCAAACTCCTGACCTCATGATCCACAAGCCTCGGCCTCCCACAGTGCTGGGATTACAGGTGTGAAGAATTTATTGTTTTTATAGGTAGCCAAGCTATTTACATAGTTCTATGAGAACTAATACTTCTAAGTCTATTTTTACCTCATATACTATTGGCCATCATTTTTCCTGTGCTTCTAGGAACCATCTTAACCTCATGTTTACACCCTCTCCTTGGGTCTTTGCCAGAATTTGAAAGCATGTATGCCAGGAGAATGCTCTCTCTTATTCAAATTTATGTTCCACCACTCTTGATCTAGCACTCTCAGAATCCAGCGCTTTGTGAATTTTCCCAGATTCTGCCAGTATATGTTGGTCAGGTCCTACAGCTTTTTTGGAGTAAAGTCCCTTTTCTTCCTTATTGGGGTATTCCATCATGTTTCAGCTGGGCCACTATTGTCCCAGTGGCAAAGAGGGAAGTTGGGGAGATCCTTGTTGTAACTTCTACTGTGCTGCAGGGGACGACCTGTCTGCATTACCTTCAAGTAAAGGGGGAGTTCAGACTTTTAATAAAAAGGAGCAGGCCACTTATGAGGCTCTCAAAGCAGGGGGATCTGGGAATTCCAGGACTTTAGAAGTCAGTATTCCATGAGTGAGGATCCCATTCTTTCCTATACAAGGCCTGATCTTGGCACAGCAGGCATAGCAGCAGAATTTGAAGTTCTACTACTCTTATTATGTGCTGGGCTTGGTCTTCAGCTTGTACTGCCCCCTAACTGTAGAAGATCAAAATACCTTTTGCATAGTGCAAAGGAGGTACCCTGGTTAACAAACTCAACTTTTAATTACCAATTAATCACCCTCATCATTTAATTTTTTTCCGAAAGTGCCCATAGTGTATAGTATCCATTTTTTCTGACCCTATAGTTATTACTTGCCCAATATTTCCCAAATGCCAGAAACATCACACATGCCAGTGTACTTTCTTTAATCAAAATATCATTGTAATTCACCACTGAGTTTTAGCAGTAGCATGGAGACTTTATGCCAGGGACTACCGGTTTACTTCTCAGCCTTCTGGCTAAGATCAAGTGCAGGGACCATCTCTGTTTCAACTATTACAAGTGCTGAAATCCTCATTACCAGCTGAGAGTTGGGTAATGCAACTTCAAAAGTCCATTTTAATGTCTGCTTTCTTGACTGCGCTTCTGTTTCCAATATTGCACGGTTAGTTCCTTAGGAAGCAGACTCAGAGATTACAGAGCAGGAAATTCTTTTGGAAATGCTCTTGGAATCAGTATGTATGGAATGGAAAAGAAAAACAGGAGACAGGATTTGGCAGAGGAGTAAATTGGGCAGCAACATAGTCTCAACAGAGGCCTCAACTGCCTCCTTGGAGAGTTCTGAAACTGCACTGGGTAGTCCTTTAGAGTTGTCTTAACTTAGGGCAAAGGGGCAGACATTTATGTCTCTGAGTCAGTCAGTGAATATAGACCACTCTTGGAAGTAATCATGACATTGTGGGAGGTTGGACTCTTCAGCAGAGGGACTCACCAAAGAGAACTGATAGCTGGGCTATCTGCTGGGAATCCTTCCGGCAATTAGGATAATTTTTTTATTCATGAAGGATATGTTGGTGGTATACTGTGTCTATTACTGAGAGCATGAGAAAACTTCTGGAAATAACCCATTTCAGCCAGGAATGTGGGTATCTTAGTCATTTGGGCTGCTATAATAAAATACTGTAAACTAGGTAGCTTATAAAAACCAGAAATATATTTCTCACTGTTCTGGAGATTGGGAAGTCCAAGATCAAGGTACAGGTAGATTCAGAGTCTGGTGAGGGTCTACTTTCTGGTTTATAGATGGCACCTTCTTGCTGAGTTCTTACGGGGTAGAAGGGATGTGTAGCTCTCTGGGATCTATTTTATAAGGGCATTACTCCCATTCATGAGGGATCCATCCTCATATCTTAATCACACCAAAAGGTCCTACCTTCTAATACCATCACATGGGGGGATTAGGATTTCAATATATGAATCTGATGAGAACAAAGACATTCAGACCATAGCAGTGGGCAAAGGCATGGAGGGTGGCTGGGGCTATCTCCAGCACTCTCTGCTTACACATCCTTTAATATCATTTTCCTTTGCAGTAAATACCTCATGATTGAGACTGGTTCCCATGGCGGGGGAGGCTCAGCTCCCCCCCCACCCCCCCGCTAGGATGGTGTTCTTAGAGGCTCTTGGTCCCTCACTCACCCAAGAATGGGAGAGAGGACCCTGCCAGATGCGGTGCAGTGGTAAGTAAATCTGGGTCCCCAAAGACTTTTAGCAGAAAGTGATTTACTTAGGCAGAGAGAGAGAAAAAGCAGAAATAAATGGATGAGAGAAAAGCTGCTTCCACGAGGTTGTGGAAGAGGATCCAGATATGGAATCTGTGGGGGATGGGGACTTTTAACCTGGGAGGAATTCCCACTCCATTCAAGTTTCCTGGCCTATGAAAGGAGTTCCTTTAAACTTCAGCTGGAGTGATTGATCTTTGATTTTTTCCCATGGGCGCAAAAGTTAAACAAAGACCTCTAGTCTCGCAGATGGAGATATGGGTGGAGATACGGGGCAGGGAAGTTCTTGCCTTTGAAACTACACCGTGCTGTGGACCCTGGAAGAGAATACATATTCTCATGATGGCAAAAAAGGGTGCCTATTTCTGTGAAATGATCTCCTGTCAGAGCACTAAAGAGGATCTGTTTTGGCTCCCTTATTGACATACTTTTTTTTTTTTAACTATCTCAAGAACACTTTAAAATATTTCCATCTCGAGAAAAGGAGGAGAAACCCTTGAGTGTAACTTCTTCCACCCGACCTGCATCTTGCCTTCCTTTCCAGTTCATAGTATTTCTTATGCCATGTTCTCAGAGCACTCTTCACTCTGAGTTGTAGACTAGCTCCACTGTCAAATTTTATGAGATTTGCCTTGTAATTTGTAAATAGTATTTTGGAGTTTAGGAATGGCTATTCTCTTTAGACCGTCTGGCTCTTAAGTCTCTCTCTACAGAGTAAATAATAAAACATTTAATTAGATAATCAGAGCTTATTAGGAACTTCATGGTTCCCTAATGCCCTAAAACCCATTGTTTTAAAGGATGAAGAATCACAAAGAATCACAGTGTGAATGAAATGAGAACACTTGTGATTAAAATTTTCCAAATATTATACCTGATATAGTAGTACTTTTCCTAACTTCATAGATATATTGGCATAATAGACTTAACATTTTTAAATTATTTGCACCCTGCCCCTATCTTTATATTTACTGTTATCTCCAAGTGCTAAAAACAGCTTTCTGGGCCGGGCGCGGTGGCTCAAGCCTGTAATCCCAGCACTTTGGGAGGCTGAGGCAGGTGGATCACGAGGTCAAGAGATCGATACCATCCTGGTCAACATGGTGAAACCCCGTCTCTACTAAAGATAAAAAAAGTTAGCTGGGCACGGTGGCGCACGCCTGTAATCCCAGCTACTCGGGAGGCTGAGGCAGGAGAATTGCCTGAACCCAGGAGGCGGAGGTAGTGGTGAGCCGAGATTGCGCCATTGCACTCCAGCCTGGGTAATGAGAGCGAAACTCCATCTCAAAAAAAAAAAAAAAAAAAAAAAAAAAAAAACAGCTTTCTATGCACCACTCTCAAATTTTGGGTAGATACAGTGTATAACAAATAAGCTAATTAAAATGCTATATGGGATTTGTAAATCTATAGCAGAAACAAATAATCTTGAAAGCTTTTATTTGAGAGAGCAAGGCTCTATTGAGAGAAAAGGGATAAGTGAATTCTGACATGACTGAGCCATTATGACTTGAAGAAGATTATTGAATATATGACATGACACCAAAGAATAAGTTATATGACCCACAGGAAAAGAAAGAGATATGAGTTTAAGCAAATGAAAGAAGAAAATGGAAGTGATGCATTGAGAGATCAGAACAAGTTTGTTTCTAAGAAAGATCCTTTCCTACCCACTCTTGGAATGAGAGAATTGAAATCTTAGAGATGATTGGAAGTATTAAAGAGTAGATATTATCTATTTTCTGGACTCTGGAAAGTGGCCTAGGAGACACAAGCCTCACAGAGAGGTTTCATGTCAAACGTTGTGTCTTAGAGGTAAATCAGCAGTGATCAAGTGAGTTGACTAGACTGAGGGGCCTGAGGGTGGCCTTACAGAGTCACAGTCAGCTCAAGAAATAGACATTATCATTTTCTATCCAATACTCCTTTCTTCTTTCTCCAGACTTACGAAAGAAACATTTTCCCCTTCTCTTGGAATTAGGTGGACCACGTCCTAATTTGATCAATAAAATGAGACTGTAAGCATCTTAGTCAGTTTGGCTGCTATACTAGAATACTGAATCCTGGGTGGCTTAAAAAACAAACATTTATTTCTCACAGTTCCCAGGCTGGAAGGTCCCAGATCAAGGTGCAAGGGGATTTGGTGTCTGGTGAGGGCCCTCTTTCTGGTTTGCAGATGGCCACTGTTTTGTTGCATCCTCATACGGCAGAGACAGAGAGGAAGGTGGCTCTGGTCTCTTCTTATAAGGACACCAATGCCATCATGAGGACCCCACCCTCATGGCCTCATCTAGATTTAATTAGTCTCCATAGTCTTCACTCCCAAATATTATCACTTTAGAGGGAAGGGTTCCAACAGATGAATGTCGGGGGACACAAACATCAGTCCCAAGCAGGAAGTGGTGCTATATCAATTAGGGAGCTGATAGTGAAAAACGCAAGGTGACTGTCCAGTCTCTCTTCCCCTACCATAGTGACAGAGAAGACCACATGGCCTAGATAAGATGGCTAAAAGTTGGTTGGTAGAATCCTCCTGACTATGAAGAGTGACTAGGCCTCTGAGTGACTATGCAGAGCCTTCCAGAAACATCTACAGACATGCAGTGTGGGTTAGAAATAAACTTTAGTGTGTTCATTCACTGAGATTTAGGGAGAGTCTTTCTGTTTTCTTTTCGTTTCTTTCCCTGCAGCAGAGCCTCTCCTATCCTAACTAAGGGCAAGGACAGAATCTCTAACCTTGAAAATGGCAGAAGATTAGAGACCCTAAAGAGACCTGAGGTTGAAATGAATGGGATTTGGAGTGTATGAACTTCATGACCAGGGACCACAGAGAAAGCACAGACTCAGCAGTAATACCAGCCTCATGATGGCAATGAAAAGTCTAGCTGTGACCCTCTTCTGATCGCAGCATAATATGGTAAGTTCTCTGGAAATTTAAGTTTACTTTAAGGGAAGGGTGGAAAAGGAAAGATACGAGGGAAAATCTTCAGTGATTGAATTTAAATACTAAGTTGACTGCTTTAAAAAATCATAAATGATCGTATGCTGTGTCATCATCACATTCTGCTACAGAGACTGTTGGTTGTCTGCTCCTATATCTTTCTCTCTCCTTATGCCTTGATCTTATTCAGCACCATCCATGAAGTGGAAGTGGAAGTGTGTAACTTCTGAGAAATTTTCATAAAAGACAGCTGGAGGGTGCCCTTTGGCCTCTCTTCTACTTCCTCCTTCCTGCTGCTTAAAATGCAGATGCAACGCTTTTGTAAGCACTGTGGATGGGAGAGCTCAGAGATCTCTGTGTGTCCCTATGATCCCAGGAAGCCACTGTATCAGGCCCCAGCTGCATTCTCTAGTCATTAAACTTGAAAGCATGAACCTGTGAATTTAAGCTTCCATAGTTGAGTCTCTGTTCTATGAGGCTGAACCCACTCCTAGCTGATACCCTTTCCTTCTCTTGGTTACATGGCAATTTAAAGAATCAGAAGCCACAGGAAAGTAGGAGCAGAATTTTAGGTGGAAACCACATTTTGAAGAAATCTCAACGATAATGGTGGGGAAGATTTTTTCTCCTGTGTATTAGAAAAGACAAATTCTCTAAGACAAACATTCACTGTATTTTATTAATATATTCTTACAAACGGGAAAATTATCTCTTCCAAATCCATTGCTTGCATCCTGAGAAATGTAGAGCTCCTTCTGCCAGCATAAAATGGTGCATTAGTAAACCAAAATTATCCAGGATCAACTAATACGATAGTAGAACATGCAATCCAGGAAGCACATTTGATGAAGTATAAACTGTCTAAACAACAGTGAGGCACAGAGAAGTATGGGATTCCTATATGTGCTTCAGCAATGGTTTTGAATTTTTGCATTATTTAACACTGGAAGTAATCTTATCTAATTCTTCTGTATAGATTACTCGCCTGCAAGGTAGGAACCTTTATTACACTAGAATCTTGTCTTTTTGCATACTCTTGTGGCTAAACTGATAATTAACTTTCCTAACTCTAAACAATTGCTCGTGAAATTGGTTTAATGCAAATTAACAGCTTTTGTGAGACTGTGGCTTGCCCTCAAAGGAGTCTTTGTGAAGGTTACAAGAAAACTAATAATTAGCTACTTGCTTGCATAGTTCAGAGAGGCATTAAGAGTCTCTTTAAACTTATTTAAACATGCAGGGAATGATCAGAATAGAAATGACCAGAGAGATACTTTGTTTCCTTTGTAGAACAAGAGACTGAAATCATCTTTATTTTTGTCTTCACCCCCAATTTGCACACATTTATGTGATGGACCAAAACATTTTAACGTATGTACAAATATGTCTGTGTGTTCTTAACCTTTTTTTTTTTTTTTAACTTTTGCTGGCCTAAGAGATTCTAACTCTGTCTGCCAATCTGCCAAGTCTTCTTTCCTTTATTCTCTGTGAATAGTTCTGTTTTTTGCCACCTGGGTTCTCCTCAGCTTTGCAGAATAAGAAACAAAGTGATAGGTGCAGGACAAATAATAGGAAAGACTGGAATGGAGGAAAGAAAGATGGGGAAGAAGAGGGAGCTACATATAAACTCCACAGTGTTTGTGAAGACATTTAATTATTCTGAAATTACTTTTTGGTAGCTCTTTTGTGTAATTGTGAGCAATCTTAGAGTTTCATAAGATCATGAGACCTAAGCCCTCATAACTCTTCAGAGAGTCCCTTCTAACTTAGACTCATAATCTCAACTATTGAAAAACCACGGATAAACACAAAAATTTCATGACCACCCTACTTCTAGGGATTCAGACATGGCCCTTGAGGGCATAGTTGAAAGTTACTGGGGACTCTATGTTTTTTCACCAGCCAAGGCAATTTTGTCAAATTTACTTTCTGTAGATTGTATTATAAAAATCAGTAGAATGCCTCTTAGATGTATATAAGTAAATCATAACATATGGAATAGCGTATGACCTATCATGCAAAATGTGGATGTCTTCTTGTCCCTGTTACTTTAAATGGAGAATCCTGCCCCAAATCTGAAGTGCTGTAGAGAGGATCCTAGCCAACAACCTTCAAGTCAAAGAGTAAAGTGAATAAAATATGCTCAGCTGGAAAATACAGCTGTTTGGATTTGGGAGCATTAAGCAAGAGAGGTGAAAAGCAAAGACAATACTGGAAGCGAATGGCTGACTACTGAGACAAGAATTCAAGAGAACTCTGATTGGGTAAGTTTCATTGAATAAAGCAAGTTTTGCCAACAGCTATCCCCTACACCAAAGGACTATGGGATTCGTGGAAGTTTAGTAGCTCTAGCTTGTGGTATGCAGAAGAATTCCTCAAAAGTCTGTGTGCACAACATCCAAATGTCAGTGTTCCTGCTAAGTTAGAAACTGCTAAGTTGCCTCTTCTTATGTATATTTGAATCACATACCCTATTTTTAAGACAAATATTCTAAAGAATTAATTATTTCATTTTTCATAGCTAGCTAAATAATGCTGTTCTATGATAGGGTGTTTCTAAAATTTGGGTGTCACTACAAAAGACACATCTCAAATTAAAAAATGTAAGATAGAATCCTAATAATTTTTTTTTCCATCATATGTATTCTCTCAGCAGTTTGGTTGAAAACGTATTTCTTAGTAGTCAAAACTGCACTGGCTTCTGGAGATATGGTAATAAATAGTACCCTACCCCTGGCATGTAGAAATATTTTTATGTGTAAATAATATATTTATTTCCACAGTTAACTTTTCGGTTAGTTAAATTAGCAAAATTTTTATATTGTCGAATATCCAGTCTCTTAACTCAGCACTAGAGGGAGCAACACTGCAGAAGAAAAAGCTACAAAAATGCGAGCTTTGCCAATATTATAGCAAAATTGAAAATCACAAAATTTCAGAAAAAAAAATGGCTGAAAGGTGGTAGAATGTCTAACAGTCTGTGGACGTGAGTAGCTAACCTGTCGGTAAAACACCTTCTAAGTGAAGTTAGACAGGGGAAGTCCTAGATACTGCTTTGGAGAACTGAAGTCTTTTTGAGGGAATGTTTTTCCAAGAATAGGACTTGAAATCTACATTAAACAGTATCTAGGAGACTAAGAGACGTCACTCTCAAATACTTTACTGTCAATATTCATTGACAAGTGCCACAAATCAGCAAGGATAAGACAAGAATAAGTGGGTAGAAATGTTTTTGGCTGTAAGCAATATGATTTTGACCTGGTCAGTGAGCAGGTCCTTGAAAACAAAGTACTTTTAGAATGCATAACTATATAATGCAGAGGACATACTGTGTTATTTCCCGATAAGAATTTCTTTTTAAAAAATTCAAAAACTTTTCAATGGAAGACAAAAATTATGTAAAAATTTCGGTACTGAGGACAGAATGATAACTACCATGTACTACATGCCTGTCTTTGGCTTTAAATATATTATTATGTAGACTTCACTATGACTCTAATGAGGGAGGTAGTTCCAACTGTGTTTCTCATATTCAGGAAACAGGCTTAATGTAAGCCAAGTGTTATACTAATAATTACTGGATCATCACACTATAATATACTTATATAATATATAAATACTTATTGAAAATAAGTAACATTAACCTTCATATTGATGGTCAGGAATATGATTAAGATTGATACAAAACATGGCTACATTTATTTTTTGATTTAATATAAAGACCTAAAAATGTGTATTATCTAAGAAAAATTTATAGCTTTTGACTTTTGACATTTAGTAGACATATTAATCATTCAAAAGTAAACTAAATATCTTATTACCAAAATAAAAGGCTTAGGTCATATTGTTCTTGACTTTTAAAAGTGGTGGTTTAAATGTTAACATATTTGAGCTAATGCATTAGAAGTGTTTATTATTAGAAGTCACATAAACCCTATAAAGTCCCTGTGGTTCCTTGTGCCGATTCAGATGGTGTTGATATCACTTTCTTTGCAAGGTTTCATGACATGAGTGTGTTGATGTAGACAATGGGATGTGATATACCAACTTAGATTCTTTCCAGCTCCCTGATGTTATGGCTTTTGCGTAGAACTTGCTAAACTAATAGCTGAGAACAAAATGTACTTGGAGTTCACCTTTTAACATGAACAATGTCTGCTGTTCCCCACTCCTGTAGTATGGGATACCCACCATTGAGTTTATAAAATGATAGGTTCTCACAGCACCCTGAAGGGTAAAAATGGTGATTTTCTTGAGAACTCAATTTCTAAAGCATTTAACTTCTCCCCTGACCCCTAGATTAAAGGAGGCACTAGATTTATATATTCTAAAATATTGGAGGACTCCAAAAATTGGAGAATGCCACTGACTTTTCAACCAGAGATTTCTGAAGGCAGAAATCTCACTGCTTCTGATACCAGAAGCCAGCAGAGCATGAGAGTATCACAGTGTGCCTATGAAGATGAGAGGCAAGGGCCACTATATCCTAGTTCCCAGAAGTCATGGAGGCTAGTCCTCAAGATTCCACATGAGAGAGCCAAGAGTTGAACAGAGGGACAAGAGCCACTCAGATTGCTCAAGAGAATGTACAGAGAGAAAGGTGTGTGCACCACTGATGGGGGATGAGGGGGAGAAAATTTTCTTACGTTGGCTAAGAAAATTTCATAAGCCATCTACATGGAGACCCCACATCACTAGAGACAACTGACAGACTGAATCTGATTGAGAACATGGACTCCCATGTCTTTGAAAGCACCTTTGAAAGACAAGAATAGAGAAAAAAGGATGAAAAGGAATGAGCAAAGTCTCCAAGAAATATGGGACTATGTGAAAAGACCTAATCTACGTTTGATTGGTGTACCTGAATGTGATGGAGAGAATGAATCCAAACTGGAAAATACTTTTCAGGATATTATCCAGGAAAATTTTCCCAATCTAGCAAAGCAGGACACTATTCAACCCCAGGTAATACAGAGAACACCACATAGATATTCCTCAAGAAGAGCAACCCCAAGGCACATAATCGTTAGATTCACCAGGATCCAAACGAAGGAGAAAATACTAAGGGCAGCCAGAGGGAAAGGCCAGGTTACACATAAAGGGAAGCCTATTAGACTTACAGCAGATCTCTCAGTGGAAACCCTACAAGCCAGAAGAGAGTGGGGGCCAATATTCAACATACTTAAAGAACAGAACTTTCAGCCTAGAATCTCATATCCTGCCAAACTAAGCTTCACAATTGAAGGAAAAATAAAATCTTTTATGAACAAGCAAGTACTCAGAGATTTTATTACCACCAGGCATGCTTTGCAAGAACTTCTGAAAGAATCATTATACATAGAAAGGAACAACCAGTATGAGCCTTTCTAAAAATATACCAAAAAGTAAAAAGCATCAACATAAAGAAGAATTTACATCAACGAATGGATAAAATAGCCAGTTAACATCAAATGGCAGTAACCCTAAATTTAAATCAACTAAATCCCCCAATCAAAAGATACAGCCAAAACCTAATAGTATATCCAAAGATACACAAAGACTCAAAACAAAGGGTTGGAGAAAAATTTACCAACTAAATGGAGAGCAAAAATAAATAAATAAACAAAAAGCAGGAGTTGCAATTCTCACATTTGATAAAATAGATTTCAAAGCAACAAAGATACAGTGGTAAAAGGATCAATGCAACAATAAGAGATCTTAATACCCAGATACGTAAGACCCATAACGAGATTTAGACTCAACGAGACAGAAAATTAATAAGGATATCCAGGACTTCAACTCAGATCCGGAACAAGTAAACTCAATAAATATTTATAGAGTTCTCCATTTTAAATACACAAAATATTGATTGGCCATTATTAATACCCATTTTTAGAATGAAGCAATATTCCTGTTCTCTCTCCCTCTTTTTCTTCCTCTTTCTTCCTCTCCTTCTCTCCTTTATTTACTTTTCAACATCCTAGTTCCTCACCTCTACTCAATACATTCCTCTGAACACCTGATTCCTTGTGATTCTCCCATCCCACTGAAACCTCCAATCCATTAAATAAATAAATAAATAAATAAATAAATAAATAAATAAAGCACCTGACTATGATTTTTGTCTTTCACCAGGATCTCCAATTCCAGGGGTCAGACCAGGGATGAGATCAGTGGCAGAAGCTTGTGAGGAGGAGCAGGATTGGATGTAGGCAGAGAAGGATGGAATGGGAAGATGACCTAAATCTGGAGAGTGCACATTTTCATAAGATTAGGTGACAAAACTCAGTGGCCAGGATGTAATTCATCAGGAAGGATGGAAGCAGTGGGGAGCAAAGGTTAAGAGCACAGGCTGCAGAGCTCAGCTACCACATTTTGAATCCCAGTTATACCATGTACTAGCTATGGGACTTTAAGCAACTCATTGTGCCTTCACTGAGGGTTTCTGAGAGAATTAAATGGGTTAAAACAGTGTCTTGAATATAAGAGCCACTCAGTCCATGTGAGATCTGATGACCACGGTGATGATGGCACAAGTGGGCTCACTGACAGTAAACTTTACACCAGTTATGGGAAAATACATTCTGAGTTTGTACGTAACTAAGTGCCAGTGTTTGCCCTACGCCTATTTCAGTGTTCCTGTAAAGGACAATGTAAAGTTGATTATGAAATGTCCTTTATCAACTATGTAGTATATGCAGTTGTATATTATATGTTAACTAAAACGGAGCTCATAATAATTATAACCAAAGAGTTGTTGTTTTCAAACCAAATAGAAACATTCTTTACTTTTAAAATTAAATCCCCAAAGGAGATTTAAAGTTCCCATCTTGTATTGAAACAAGTGGCCATCATGCTCACTGTTATTGGTAAGATGAAATGTCAGCTGTTTTTGCATAGCAACCGACTATTTGCCTCTGGCCCCTGCCTGCCCATCTAACCGCTCATCCTAATACAACAATATCCGTTCTCCTGAGTTTACACAGAATCTTTGTTCTTCTTGGTCACACACACACACACACACACACACACACACCCTTTTTGCTGAAGGCAAATGTTTTCCTCAACTGTAATTGAGATGACACCATCCATGAATCCCCTATTCATGGATTCATTCTTTCACCTTATAGCTCTTGAATACATAATTGTTTTAGGTATCATTCCATGCTCTCAGAGTAAAGTGATAAGATAGACAAGGTCTCTCCTCTCAAAGATGTGGCACACTAGTGTGAAGAAACACAATAAATAGGAAAACAAGAAAATAAGTAACATTGAAATTCATATT